ATAAAAGATCCCTGAATCGGGCTCAGTGGTGAAGAGCACTGCCTGCTCTTCCAGAGATCCTGAGTTCAATTCCCAGCAACCATATGGTGGGTCACAACCACCGGTAATAAGATATGGTGCCAACTTCTGTCTGCAGGGACCCATGCAGGCACACCATTGTATACATAATAAATTTAAAGAAAAAAAATTTAAAAAAAGATCCCTGATTCAAATCCACCTCTAATTCTGTACAACACAATCAACAGCTTCTCTCGTAAACAAAGAAACGAACTGACATACACAGTGAGTTATTCAGCTATGATCAATCCGCTCAAAAAGATGCAGTTTAAAGAGTTTAAAACTAGCCATCTGACTGCAAAGATTTTCTTCTCTATCCTTTCTCCCCGAACCTACTACTTCTCATGTCACTCGGATTTTTAGAAGGGAAGAAAAGAAAATGAGAGGTGGGGGGAGAAAGCTGGGTGCTGTAGAACCCAGAACACTTGCTGCCTTAAATAGAAACCAGCTTCCGAAGATCCCTGGCTCTCTGGGAAACGCTCTGGTCCCTGAGATAAGTCCACGAAGGCACAAACTATAGCTCTGCAGCGCCCTCTGCTGTTCAGCTGCTTTCCTTTTTGCCCCAAGAAGAGCTACTTAGGTCAGTCATAGGGTAAATTGCACTGTTACAGAGGTATTAGAACACAGCTGCGGGTAAGGTAGAGACAGGACAAGAACAAAGGAAAAAAGAAAAAAGTAGAGAAAAGAAATATTACCTCTCTCTATTTACTTAATAGTCCAGACCTATACCCCATGTCTGGGAAAAATATGAAAAAGGAACCTTAATTTAACACTGGCACCCAGGAGGGAGGCAGAAGTAGGCAGACTCCTGTGAGTTTGATGTCAGCCTGGTCTACACAGTGAGTTTCAGGACAGCCAGGGATACACAGTGAGATCCTGTATCAAAAATAAGTAAATAAATTTTCAAATAAAGTGGAAAGAAACCTCTGTGTGACTTAGACTCCAGTTAAGTTGTTTTGAGACAGGTCTCCCTATACAACCAAGACTGGCTTGGAACCCATAGCCCTCCTGCCTTCAAGCCTCCCAGCTTGGAGTGGCTCTATGCCTAGTCAGCATTCTCTAGAGGAACAGAACCAATATAATGACTATCTATATTTTTGGTTTTTTTTTTTTCTGAAACAGAGTTTCTCTGTAGCTTTGGAGCTTGTCCTGGAACTAGCTCTTTGTAGACCAGGCTGGCTTCAAACTCACAGAGATCTGCCTGCTTCTGCCTCCCGTGTGCTGGGATTAAAGGTGTGCACCACCACCGCCCAGCTGACGACTATCTATATTTATGAGAAATTTAATGTACAGTAAAGAGTTTGTGAAATAAACTTATACTGAAATAGTAGCAACAGCTGTCCCACACCTGAGAGGCTGAGAATCCCATAGCTGCTCAGTCCATGGAGTTGGGTACCTCAGCAGTCCCAATCTGGCACCCGAAACCGGAAGAGCTGCTGGTCCACAGTCAGTGATAGGAGTCTGGAAATGCTGGTTCTAATTCAGCCACGAGACAGCTGCAGCTACAGCAACAGAGGACATTAACTCAGCGACACAAGAGAAGACCAGCTGCGCAAAAGGCAAATATTCTTCCTTCAGCCCCACCCCCTTTCAATCTAGACTGCTACCAGAAGACACTGCCCCACATTCTGAGTGGTGTGGGTTTCCCCACAGCAATGAAGGCAATTAGGACAATGCCTTAGGTGAGGCTCCCCGCTCAGGTGATTCATGTTGACAGTAAAAGCAAGCATCACATCTTCACATTTCTTTCATTAAAGACTGTAAAAGAGATTCTTATATACTTGAGAGGGTAGCACATGCCTGTAACTCCAGATTTTACAGAGCTGAGACAGGAGGACTGTGAGCTCTATGCCAACCTAAACTATAAATTGAGACTGGGGTGTGTGTTCTGCAGGTGTAGGATCTTAGCACTTTTTTGAAAAAGGTTTAAGAAGAATGATTTAGAGACCCTCTAGGAATTCTGAGGTTCACTTAATCTTTTGACAATGGCCAAGGACATTGTCCCTGTCCCTCTAAATGCTGTGGTTCACTTATTTCTAATTATACCATGACTTGGAGATATATGACCATCCAAGCATTGGTGTTCCTGCTGAGGCAGTAAGATCATTTGAGTCCAAGGGTTCAAAACCAGCCTAGGCATCATAGCAGGACCCCACTTCAAAAATAATAGTGCTAGGTGTGGTGACACACACTTCTAATCCCAGCACTCGAGAGGCAGAAGCAGAATCTCTGTGAGTTCGAGGCCAGCCTGGTCTACAGAGTTCTAGGACAGGCTCCAAAACTACAGAGAAACCCTGTCTCAAAGAAAAAAAAAAAAACCAGGGCTGGAGAGATGGCTCAGAGGTTAAAAGCACTGACTGCTCTTCCAGAGGTCCTGAGTTCAATTCCTAGCAACCACATGGTGGCTCACAACCATCTATAATGAGATCTGGTGCCCTCCTCTGGCATGCAAGCATACATGGATGAAATGTTGTATATATAATAAATAAATAAATCTTAAAAAAAAAATAAAAAAACCAAAAAGAAATAAGTGAGTGTGATGATTTTTAAAAATTTTTAAGAGGGAGCATATGAAGTATATAACAGGGAAAACTGATTTGGTGACTCACACCTGTAATCCCAGGACTCAGAAAGTTGAGGCAGAAGAATCACTGTAATACACTTGGGCTGCAGAGTGAGCATGAACATATACACAAGCATATACATACATATACAGGGTTGTGTACAGGGTTAGCAAGAAGGCTCAGCAGGTAAAGGCACTTGCCACCAAGTCTGTCAACCTGAGTTCAAATGCCAGTACATACAGGGTAGAAGGAGAGAACAGACTCCCACAACTTTCCTCTGACCCCCACATATGTGATATGATGTGGCAATACATGTCCCACTCTCTAACACATAAATAAATGTAAAAGCAAATCAGGTAGGGCACTGCGGAGATGTCTCCATTGCTAGTGTTTGCTGTGTAGTCACGCAGACCTAGGTTCCCGTCCCTTGTACTCATGTAAAAGGTCAGGTGCAGACACCGAGAGAAACAGAAGGAACTCTGGGGCTGTCTGACCAGCTGGCTTTGCTGATCCAGTGAGTTCCGGGTTCGGTGACTTTCAAAAAAAAAAATAGGTAAAGAAAGATTGAGGGAGATACCTACTGCTGACCTTTGCTCCCTGCATACACGTCTTCAACACAGAGACACGCAGGAAAGATAACAGTGAGACTTTATTTATTTATGTATTTGCTTATTTATTTACTTATTTTGAGACTGGGTCTCTCTATGTAGATCAGGCTGGCCTCAAACTCACAGAGATCCGCCTGCCTCTGCCTCCTGAGTCCTGGGATTAAAGGCAATTGCCACCATACCTAGCAAAACTTTAAAATGAACCAGCCTGCCTCCATCTTGGGCTTAAAAGCCATCTTATATTAAAGACAAACTAGGTTCATTCTCATTTATGATTAAACCTTTGTTTCTCAAGGATTGGGCTATGCCCCCACCTGTAACCTTAACTACGCATGGCTGTGTACTGCCTGCTCGGGGAAACAGCAACATGCCTCTGTTTCAGAAAGGTGCTAGGGCTACTTTTCTATGTTTATGTTCTGCTGATTGTTTGTTTGTTGGTTTTTCAAGACAGGGTTTCTCTGTGTAGCCCTGGCTGTCCTGGAACTTGCTCTGTAGACCAGGCTAGCCTCAAACTCACAGAGATCTGCCTCCCAAGTGCTAGAACTAAAGGAGTGTGGAGTGTGCCGCCATCACTTGGTATGTTCGGCTTCTATAACCCTACCGTTTGAAAACCTCCTATCCCTGAACTATTAAAAAAAAAAAACTTGTCTTAAAATGTTGGTCTCTTGAACTCCACTTTTAAGAGGAGATAGCCTGTGCATACAAATTTTTAAAAATTGCTTGCTTTAGTTAGCTTGGCCATGATTTGGGTCGGTGGTCTTTCTCCTTGAATCTTTGGAATTCTGGCAAGATGGCTGAACAGGTAAAGATGCTTGTGGTCAAGACCTGACAGCCTGAGGTTGGAGAGGTGGCTCAGCAGTTAAGAGCACTGACTGTTCTTCCAGAGGACCTACCCCAATCAGCTCACACCCATTCATAACTCCAGTTCCAGGGACACCAGGCATGCAAATGCAAACTTTAAAAGTGGGAAGAGCTGCCTTTCATCCCAGCACTCAGAGGCAGAGGCAGGTGGATCTCTGTGAGTTCAAGACCAGCCTGGTCTACATAGTTCAAGGCTAGCCAAGGGTATAGAATGAGACTTTGTCTTAAAAACCAAACAACAAAACAAACAGAAAAGGAGGTAGGGGAGAATGAGAGCGGCTCGTTGTCACAAAGGGACAGGAGATGCTGGGATACAGAAAGATGGAGAGGGGCAGGCATCAGTAGTGCCCTGCCAGACATGTGGCTGGCCCTTTATTATGCCCATTGCAGTTGCTGCCAGGAGGCCAAGTGGGGCAGAGGGATGGAAAGAGGGACATGGATTCAGCTATGGTTGCTATGGAGCTCCAGGCCGGATTTACCCATCTCTGCTAATGGAGCAAAGGGTAGAGGAAGGAGGGAGGCAGAGCTCAGAGAACAACTGGTATCCTCCCTTTCCCTCTTTTATCTCTGGAGCAGATGTGGGGTGTATGTGCCTGGAGTGGGGGTACTGGATCAGAGGTAGAGAAAAGGGTAGTATGTCGGATTAAGAGGCTTTTGAGATGGGGAGGCAGACTGAGTGATGGGGGCAGGGCCATCATACCTATATCCAGAAGCTAACCGATAACATTAGAGAAACGGGGGAAAAATAGGCTAGATGGTATTAGCATGAGAGAGAAGAGGGAGGGAGATAGGCAGGGAGGGGTGGAGGGAGGGAGGTGTGGAGACAGACTATACACCAGCCTCTGAGTTCTTCTGAGCCATCCAAACCTCTAGGCAGCCTGGATTCCAGGGATATGAGAGCTGCCCAAGAATGGGCACCACGGCAGTGATCACACCTTCTCTTGTTTGGGGGCTGCTAAGTTGCTGTTTCCTCTGCAGCTGGGCTCTGGGGAGCCAAAGGTCCTCCCGCTCTCTGCCTCCACTACCTTCTCAAGCCAAGCCAGGACCTGGGCCCACGTGGAAGCCCCCACAGAGGGCTAAAGCAGCCCTGAATTTTCTCTACTCTGGAGATGTTCAGCAGCTGTCAGGGGCTAATTGTAGTGAGAGTTATGAAGTCCTTGAAACAGAAGGCAGTGTGGGGATCCCCCCAGTCCTACAGAGAGCAGCGGGCACCCTGGCCCAGGCTGCCAATTTTCTCAACATGCTTCTACAAGCCAACGACATCCGGGAGTCGAGTGTGGAAGAGGACATTGAGTGGTACCAGGCTCTTGTCCGAAGTGTGGTAGAGGGGGACCCAAAAGCCTACAGGGCTTTACTGACCTTTAACCCTCCACCAGGGGCCAGCCACCTTCAGCTGGCCCTGCAGGCCACCCGGATGGGGGATGAGACCATCCTCCGGGACCTCTCTGGGAACAAGGTACAGGAAGAAAATCCAGAAGAGGACCTGGACAGCCCTGTCCTACAGAAGCGAGTACTGACCAATGATCTAAGGAGTCTTGAAAGCCCCAAGTGGCCACGGGGGGATGGGTACGTGGGGGACATACAACAGGTGAAGCTGTCTCCTCCCTTCCTGGAATGCCATGAGGGCCAGCTCCGTCCTGGCTGGCTAGTCACAGTCTCAGCCACATTCTATGGTCTCAAGCCAGACCTCACCCCAGAAGTCAGGTAAGTGGGTTTGGGAAGGACTCGATGGACCTGTGAGGGTGAGGGGGACATGAGTCTACTGCATTGTGCACAGACCACTTGGCAAGAACATGTGTCTGCAGCGAGCACAGATGTGTGTGTGCATTCAGCTGTGCATATCTATACTATTAACATTCTCAGGTATGTTGGTGATGTATGTGAACCAGTCAATTTATACATATATATCTGAACCTCTATTTGTATGTCTTCATTTTAATTTACTTATTTATTTTGGTTTTTTGAGACAGGGTTTCTCTGTGTAGCACTGGCTGTCCTGGAACTCTGTAGACCAGGCTGGCCTTGAACTCATAGAGATCCACCTGCCTCTGCTTCTTGAGTGCTGGGATTAAAAGTATGTGCCTCCATTGCCAAGCTTTATTTTGTTTCTTTTTTTACTTTTTTTTTGCTTTTTTCTTTTTCTTTTTTTTTAAACATTTATTTATTTATTTATTTATTTATTTATTATGTATACAATATTCCTTCTGCATGTATGCCTGAAGGCCAGAAGAGGGCACCAGACCTCATTACAGATGGTTGTGAGCCACCATGTGGTTGCTGGGAATTGAACTCAGGACCTTTGGAAGAGCAGGCAATGCTCTTAACTGCTGAGCCATCTCTCCAGCCCCCTGCTTTTTGCTTTTTCAAGAAAGGGTTTCTTTGTGTTACAGACCTGGCTGCCTGAAACTTACTCCGTAGACCAGGCTGACCTCAAACTCACAGAGACCCACCTGCCTCTGCCTCCTGAGTACTGGGATTAAAGGCGTGAGCCACTACCACCCAGTTTATTTTGTTTTCTAAGACAGTTTCTCATGTAGCCAAGGCTAATCTGGAATCCTGGTCCTCCTGCCTCTATTTTCCAAGTGTTGGGATGACAGGCATGTGCCTGGGTATCTCTTGATGTTGTTTATATGCTGAGGACAATGAGTGAAAAGATGTTCACTCTTGTGCACACACAGGAATTAAACATATGTATTGGGTATGTGTGTGTGCAGACGGGTGAGTGTAGATAGGGGCAGGTCTTGGCTCTCAGGGCTCGCAGGTCTAAGGTATAGACGGAAGAGATAAGAGAAACTGATAGTCAGGTAGTAGTGGTGCACGCCTTTAATCCCAGCACCCAGGAGGCAGAGGCAGGTGAGTTCGAGGCCAAACTGATCTACAGAGCAAGTTCCAGGACATCTAGAGCTACACAGAGAAACCCTGTCTCGAAAAACAAAACAAAATGAAACGAAATGAAAGGAGAAAGAGAGAGATAGAGAGAGAACTTAATGACAGTAATAATCCATATTCCTGACTTCTCAGAAGAACCACATGGACACTTCAGGAGACTTTCCAGGACAGGGGCTTGGAACCAACATCCTTTTTGCACAGGAGTTGGCTGAGTCCCCAGTGTCACTCTCGGTGACCAGGCTCTTTGCGGAGCAGACCCTGTTATCCTATCTATTCTGTCCTATCCTGCCGCAGTACTTTGTGATGTTCCTCAAAGAACTGGCTCTGCGCTCAGCTGAGGGGAAGCAGGAGCAAAGGAACACAGCACAGCCAGGCATGCTGCAGTCAGCACTGCTCTCCCAGTCTTCTGCCCCATGCATTGTTCCCAGCAGGGCTCCCCTCCTGTAAACTGGCATCCTGGCTCCTTGCCAGAGCCCTCCCAATTCAGTCACAACAGGGCTCGTCCATTCTTGGACTCCTTTGCTGTGATTCGTTCAGACCTGGTTTGGGCAAAGGAAAGTAGTGGTAACCAGCGGGGCTGCATATGTTATGTGTAAATGCAATGGGCAAGGGTGAAAAAAAACCCTTCGCGGTGATCATCCGGGCCCGGGCTCCTGCATGTCTTGACATGCCTTTCCCTTCTCCCCACTGATGAGAACCAGAAAATGATAAGATATGCTGACTACTGAGGTGGGAAATACTCTAGTGGGAAGGGACTGTTGCCACAGAGACAGGGCTAACGGCACCGGAGGTCTGCCTTGGATGTGTGCAATCCTGCCCCTGCGCTAATACTGCACTGCCCAATAATGTAGTGATTGCCTCCGCACCCCCGCTGGGCGCCTAACTGCCAATTTGCTGCCTTAGGGGCCAGGTGCAGATGGACATCGACCTCCAAAGCGTGGACATCAATCAGTGTGCAAGTGGCCCAGGCTGGTACTCCAACACCCACCTGTGTGACCTCAACAGCACTCAGGCAAGGAGGATGGGTCCACTGAGGTCCGCCTTCATTCCCTTTCGCCCACCGGCCCCGGTCCCCTCCCCCATTCTACCCCCCCAAATCCAGCTCCCAGGAGCAGTCGAAAAAGCCACCTTTTCACCTGGTTTTCTCAGGGCTTCAAGAGGGTCCCAACTGATCGTTGAGGTGAAATGACAGGGAGGCCAATGTACAGCCTATCTCATACCTCCCATCTATCCCAAGAAAGCTACTCCGCATGCCTGTGAAAGCTCAGTGTGCCTCCTTGTTTGCTCTCGCCTGGTACTCAGCACTCTAGGCTTCCTCTTTAGGGGGACTTCTGAGCCTCGCCTGCTTTCCCTTTCCTAGGCTCCATGCGCCACATCAGCGCAGCTCTGAGCTCCTCAGGGCGCACAGAGGATGCTCCAGTGGTATTCACCCAAGTCCATAGAATTGCTGGTTGGGTGTAGGAGGAGCCTAACCAAAGCTTGAAAAGGTCTGGGACTGGTGAAGGTGACAAACACCAAGTCACATGCCCAGGCAAAGCCCTTTGCCTCCCAGAGATCTGTTCTCAGTCACTGACCTCAGCCGCATGCTTAACACCCCTGCCTGTCTCTGAGGCCATGCTTTGTCCCCTGCTGAGCAGACATCAATAGGACGAGGTAGAATAGAGAGCTAACCTTGGCATTCCACCAGCCTGGCCTTATGCTGAGGAAAGTAGTCCTGTGTTCAAGCCAGATATGTCCTGACAGAGAAAGTTACCCCTCCACGGGAGTTTTTTTTTTTTTTTTACTTTATTTAATTTTTTTATTTCATGCACATTGGTATAATGATGTCAGATTCTCTTGAACTGGATTTACAGACAGCTGCGAGCTGCCATGTGGGTGCTGGGAATTGAACCCAGGTCCTCTGGAGGAGCAGTCAGTGCTCTTAACCACTGAGCCATCTCACCAGCCCCTTTTTTTTCTTTTTTTTTTTTTTTTTCCACGGGAGTTTTTTTGTTGTTACTGTTTTTCTTGGCTTTTAGTTTTTCAAGACAGGGTTTTGCTGTGTAGCCCTGGCTGTCCTGGAACTTTCTCTGTAGAGAAGGCTGACTTTAAACTCACAGAGATTCACCTGCCTCTGCCTCCCAAGCTACCACTGCCCAGCCATGGGAGGTTTTAGCAACTTGATTTTTTAAAATTTCATTTTATATGTATTGGTGTGAGGGTATCAGATCCCCTGGAACTGGAGTTACAGACAGTTGTGAGCTGCCATGTGGGTGCTGGGAACTGAACCCGGGTCCTCGAGAAGAACAGCCGGTGCTCTCAACCACCGAGTCATTGCTCCAGTCCCTAGCTTACCTGTCTTGATTAGAACTACTGTTGCTGTGTTGGATCACCGTGATGATGGGGAGGAAAGGGTTGATTTCTCTCACAGTTCCATACAACAGTTCATCGTCAAAAGCCCTGAAGGCAGGAACCCTAGCAGGGCAGGATCCTGGAGACGGAGCTGCTGCAGAGACCATGGAGGGGTGCTGCTTACTGGCTTGCTCATCTTTCATATAGAACACAGGACCAAAAGTCCAAAGATAATCCTACCAATAGTGGGCTGGGCCACATCAATCACTAATTAAGAAAATGCCCTACCGCTGGATCTTATGAGGGCCCTTTCTCAATTGAGGCTCTTACTGCTCCGGATAACTCTAGCTTGCATCAAGTTGGCCTAAAACTAGCCAGCAAGACACCTATATGACAAGTGGGGCAGCTGTGGGAACCCTTTGAAGCAGGGGGTAGGCACATAAGAGGTGTGATTGGGTTCTGAGTTCTCCCTGTCTTCACCTCCCCCAGTACCTAGCCCTAGCAACAGCTAGGCACCAGGAAATGGGGCATGAGGCTCCTGTTAATGCCAGGCTGAACAAGAGAGTTATGTATCCCGGTTATGTATTCTGCATTCTTTTCTTGGATACTCCTTGAAAAGACCTAACAGCAGGGAATGGGGACAGGACGGAAACGTTTGCCGAGGTGGGGGTGGGAGTGGGTGACTGGGCAGGAACCGGAGAAAGCTTCTGGTGAAATCTCCCATTGTAAACCCAGAAGTCATGGAGGGAGGGAACCCTTCCCAGCAGGGAAAGCTTTCGGAGAAAAGCATCATATAAACAAACGCCATTTGTCATCCCCACAGTGTGTCCCCCTGGAGAGGCAGGGTTTTGTCCTTGGCCGCTATCTCTGTCGCTGCCGACCTGGATTCTACGGGGCTAGCAGTTCTGGGGGTACGTAAGTGTGGAGAGGGCTAAGCAGAGGTTGTGCTAGCCAAGGGAAGTTGGGATGGAACATCTGTAGGGCTGACACACAGGTATGAGGCAAGTTAGCCTCTGAACAAACCTTAGCCTGGTATCTTCCTGCTACCATGCCCTTACTCAGGCACAACCCTTCGCTCTTATTCCTGGGGCCGTAAGTTACAGGAGGGCGTGTGGCCCTCAGGACCGAAGGCTAGAACCTCAGAAATCCCTAGCCAAGTTCTCTTTACACCCATCTTGTCTTTCGTAGGATTAGAAGAGAGTGCAACTCAGACTGCTGGGCAATTCGGGTCCCCTCAAGGCAGCTTAGGGAAGCTGCTGAGATGCTGGCCATGTCCTGAGGGCTGCACTAGCTGTCTGGATGCCACGCCATGCCTGGTAGAGGAGGCCCTGGCACTGAGAACGGCAGTGCTGGCCTGCCAGGCCTGCTGCATGCTGGTAGTCTTCCTGAGTATGCTGGTCGCCTACCGTTGCCGCAGGAGCAAGGCAAGAAGGCCCCCTATCTCTCTTCTATGCACACGTCCAACCCATCTCAAATAAAGCGTCAAGTCTTGGGAGAATGGGTGCCAATCTTGCTTCTACACCTGAATGTGTGACATTAGGCAGTGACTTTTCTAGACCTGTTTAGACCTGTTTCTTCATCTGCAACACTGTATTCAATTCAACAAATACTAGTTGAATGTCTGCTCAGAGCAAACTACTACATAGGCACTGTACAACAGAAGTTATCTGGACTCCCAAGGCATAGAGGAAGCAGTGAGACAGAGGCAAGGAGGGGAGTGGCTTTCAGGCACCATGGGGGCTCAGAGGAGAGACCCAGTTGTTCTGGAGGAGATGGCGTTGGAGAGAATTTCTAGAAAAAGTGTTACTGGGGCCAGACTCAAAGGTTCATTGGTTTAATCTGGGCAAAGAAGAGGAATCTTAATCTAGACCAGGATGCAGTCAGCCCCAAAGCTTGGAGGAATGCCAGAGGCCCTTCCTAGCTCCAGCAACCTTCGGTGTGAGCCCGGCAGGGCTCTTGGTGCAAGCATAGGTAGTAGACACTGTGGTGAGACTGGAGACTAGCTGTGAACAGGGGGTGGGGTGGGGGTGGGGCTAGTGCTGTTGGAGGAAGCCCAAGGCCTAGTGAGCCTTCCGACAGGCCAGGCTTGGTGTCCTCAGAGTCCCGCTTACATCTTTCTCCCTGGGCTTACAGAGGATCCGGGCATCTGGAATCTTCCTGCTGGAGACCATCCTTTTTGGATCCTTACTTCTCTACTTTCCTGTGAGTCTGCGACCAGTAGCTGACCTTACTTTCTTAATATCCCCTACTCCCAAACTGTCCCCAACCTCCAGAATCCTTTTCTGTCTCTTGGGAAGATTTAGTGACTTGAAATTCCCCTGACCAGCGTGGCAGGGGCACATGCCCTTAATCCCTGCACTCAGGAAGCAGAAGCAGGCAGATCTCTGTGAGATCCAGGCCAGCCAGTTCTACAAAGTGAGTTCCAGGACAGCCAAGGCTACACAGAAAAACCCTGTCTCGAAAAATAACAACAACAAAGTTAAATTCCCTCTACCTATTCACACAAATGGCATGCTGGCCCAGTAAGCTCTGGAGGCAGACACCCAGACTGAAAAGAATTTTCTGGGGGCTAGAGAGATGGCTCAGAGGTTAAGAGCACTGACTGCTCTTCCAAAGGTCCTGAGCAACCATATGGAGGCTCACAACCATCTATAACGAGATCTTGTGCCCTCTTCTGGCCTGCAGGCATTCATACAGGTAGAATACTGTATACATAATAAATAAATAAAATTTAAGAAAGAAAGAAATTTCTGACTTGCTGGTGCAATAAGGCAAGTTGTCTACCTCCCCTTCCTGATACACTCCTACAGTGCAAAAGGGAAGTGTGAGGCGCCCCCTCACCCCCCCACCTTACCCCCCCACCTCCCGCTGTGGGATTGCTGGTAAGATTCACGCACATGACACAGATGGAGAGGGGAAGAAAACACAGCAGAGGGCAGCTGTCTCTGTCTCCTTGCCCTCAGGTCTTCATCCTGTACTTCAAGCCCAGCGTGTTCCGCTGCATCGCTCTCCGCTGGGTCCGGCTGCTGGGTTTTGCTGTCGTCTATGGGACCATTATACTGAAGCTGTCTAGGTAGGCCCTTGCCGACCTCGCCACTGCTCTGCTCACCCCAGGCTACTACTCACTCACCCAGGGAAGTTTTTCTGAAGTCAGACCTTTGCCCTGTACCCCCAGCCCAGCCTCAATCACTCAGCCTTCTCCCTCTATGTAGCTTTTGGAAAGGTCAGGGGAGGTAAATATGGGGGGGGGGCTGGGAAGCGAAGCAATGGACAGAATTAGGGCTCTGGCCTCACCCTCGGTCCTCCCGACTTCCCACATGTACCTTACTTCCTCCCCTCAGGGTGCTCCAGCTGTTTCTGTCTCGAACAGCCCAGCGAAGCCCACACCCAAGTAGTGGGCAGCTGCTGCAGCGCCTGGGACAGCTCCTGTTGTTGGTATTGGGTTTCTTGGTCGTGTGGACAGCTGGTGTCCTGGAGCCAGGCATCCAGCACACGCCTCTGGTGACCCGAGGCCACACGCCCACCGGCCGCCACTTCTACCTCTGTCACCACGACCACTGGGACTACATCATGGTTGTGGGTGAGCTGCTTCTTCTGAGCCCGGCCTGCTGCTGGCCCAGGCTGTTGCCTCCATGTTGTTCTTGAGCTGGTTCCCCCGGGTCTGTGCTGCCTAACACAGTTGGTTTTAGAGAGGGTTAGCAGGCTGCTGAAATGGTAAGAGCTTCTCTCTCTCTCTCTCTCTCTCTCTCTCTCTCTCTCTCTCTCACCCGGCCCCAGCGGAAATGCTGCTGCTGTGTGGGGGCAGTTTCCTCTGCTACGCCACCCGGGCTGTCCCCTCAGCCTTCCATGAACCACGGTACATGAGCATCGCCCTGCACAATGAGCTCCTGCTCTCTACTGTCTTCCACACGGTCAGGTGAGGGCTGGCCCCTTCCTAAGACTCCTCCCACCTCGCCAGGGTTCCCCACCTCCGGGTGAAGGGGTCCGTCTAACAGCGATCCTTGACCGACTGTGATGCCCAGCAGGGTACAGAAGGGCTGCACATATACCCCTCCTCTACCTCATATCTCCTTCAGGAGAGATACCCAATCCACAGGAAGTGTGTCTGGGTACACACTTCCTAACTGCCTGCCTGTCAGCCCTGAGCGTTTCCCCTCCAGCCCTGACCCCTTCCTTACCCTTTAGCCTTCAGAGCAGCAGGCCCGCTATGTGTTTATGGAACCTGGCCCTGTAGCGGAGGAAGAAGCAAACTACGGGCTGTTCCTAATAGAGACCTGGGCACAGTTCTGTTCTGTAACCTGGACAGGCAAAAGCGGTGGGGTGAAATCATTTAGGAGGTCTTCTCAGAATTAATTAATGAGAACCTCTGATCCCGAGATCACACCTCTGATCCCGAGAAGGCAGGAAGGGTATCCTCCTGGCAGAGCACCAGACTGGGCTGGCGTGGACATCTAGTGAGGTGAAGCAGACAGGCTGCTGCCACCTGCACTGACCACCCTGTCCCATCTGGCCCTTAGGTTTGCGCTGGTTCCTTCCCTGCACCCAGACTGGACCCTTCTCCTCTTCTTCCTCCATACCCATAGTACAGTCACGGCCACGCTAGCTCTGCTCTTCATTCCAAAGGTAAGGTCTTTCCCCTACTGTGCGAGGCCCCTTGGTAAAGAACACTGTGGCCCTGCCACCTCAGCACCCTCTCCACATCAAAAAATGATGAGCATCCTGAGCAAGGACTTGGCTGAGAAAGAAAGCTACTCCCTGCTTCCAGTTCCCATGCAAGCAACACAGAGCTAGGGATACAGGAAGATTTTGTTTGGTTTGGGTGTTTTGTTTTGTTTTATTCTGTTTTGTGCTTGGGCTTTTTTGTTTGTTTGCTTGTTTGTTGGATGGTTGTTTTTTGTTTTGTTTTGTTTTGTTTTGAGACAGGGTTTCTCTGTGTAGCCCTCGCTGTCCCAGAACTCGCTCTGTAGACCAGGCTGGCCTTGAACTCAGAGCTCCTCCTGCCTCTGCCTCCTGAGCACTGGGATTAAAAGCATGTGCCACCGTGTCTTGCATCCTTTCAGCCCAGCTGGTAGACTCTGAAGGTGTGGGGAGCAGGTTAGAGAGCTGAAGGCCATGCCTACGGATACTGTGCTGGTCCCTAATGAAGACGAGTAACAGGGAATAAAATTCTCTGAGACCTTGGATCCCAAATCAGAGAAGGGTGAAGACTCCTGAAGTAGAGACCGAGTAGGTGAGGACAGGAGTGGGCAGGATGCCATCGTGTCTCCCATACCCCCTCCCATCTTGGCTAGTTCTGGAAGCCAGGGGCGCCTCCCCGAGAGGAGATTTTGGATGAGGTCTATGAAGATGAGCTGGGCCTGCAGCGCTCAGGCTCCTACCTCAACAGCAGCATCGCCTCAGCCTGGAGCGAGCCAAGTCTGGACCCAGGGGATATTCGGGTAGGTCCCTCCCCCCACCCCAGTTCCTTTGATATCAATATTTAAGGTCTGAGCCGGGGAGCACAGCTGGGCTGCCATGGGACTACAGAACACCGAATCACCTTCCCTGATCACATACCATCCACTTGAAAAGAAAACCCAAAAACAAGACTCCCAGGCCTTGGGGTCCAGGCCCAGCCAAGAGTTCATTCTTTTTTTTTTTTAAGATTTATTTATTTATTTATTATGTATACAGTGTTCTGCCTCCATGTATGCCCGCACACCAGAAGAGGACACCAGATCTCATTACAGGTGGTTGTGAGCTACCATGTGGTTGCTGGGAATTGAACTCAGGACCTCTGGAAGAGCAGTCAGTGTTCTTAACCACTGAGCCATCTCTCTAGCCCCCCCCCCAAGAGTTCATTCTTAATCCTGTGTCCTCATCATGTTGTGGGGTAGACTAGACAAGCCTTGAGTTCCTAGCAAGATGGGACGGCTAATGACCCTAAGAGTCAGCTGTGGGATCTAGAAAGTGTTCCCACGCCTGTGTTTCTGCTCCTTCTTCGATTTTGTTGTTGTTTGGGTTTGTTCGTTTGACTGTTTGAGACGGGGTTTCTCTGTGTAGTCCTGGCTGTCCTGGAACTCATTTATAGACCAGGCTAGCCTCCAACTCAGAGATCTGCCTGCCTCTGTCCCCCAAGTGCTGGGATTAAGGGTGTGCACCACCACACCGGGCACCTTTACATCTTCTATGTAACCCGTGTCCATTTCCTTAGAACATTTGAGGAGGTTGACGGAACTAGTAGATAGAGACCGTTACATGCCAGTGTCCACGAAACCTTCCCTGCTCTGAATTTCTCCCCAAACGACAACCATGACAATAAAACCCCAAAACTGAAGAAGATGCAAAGGCCCAGAGAGGTCAACACAATAGCTTCGAGATACACGTGGGTCAGCAGTCTTAAAGCCAGACCTATCCTGAACTACAGGCAGGACAGATCACAGTGCTCCAAAGAAGTGAGGGCACCCTGAACCCTCAAGGCTGAGTGGATCCAACTCAGAACCAACTTGGCTCTGGTCTCGCAGGAGTAGAGTGGTGAATTCTGCATGTTAGGAACAGGAAAGGGGGCAGCTTGGTGGAGAAGGATGCCCCAAGGAAGGGAGTAGCAGGGTTGGTGGGAGTCTCCGTCTCTCAGAGGCGGCTCTGCTGCCCCACCCCTTCCTTGCAGGATGAGCTGAAGAAGCTCTATGCCCAGCTGGAGGTCTGCAAGACCAAGGAGATGACTGCTAATAACCCCCACCTGCCCAAGAAGCAGAGCAGCTCACGCCAGGGACTGGGGCGCTCCTTCATAAGGTACCTGGCTGAGTTCCCAGAGGCCCTGGCTAGGCAGCACTCCCGGGACTCTGGCTCCCCAGGCCACAGCAGCCTGCCAGGCTCTTCTCGACAGAGGCTTCTCAGCTCCAGCCTTCAAGAAACTGAGAAGCCACCAGCTCTGCGCAAGACCCGCAGCACATATGATCACCACAGGGAGCATAACACACCCCTCCTTGACTCCACACTGAGGAGGACCCTATCCAAGAAGGCCTCACCATCAGAGGGTCAAGCAGAGGGGCCCACAACCCTGGGCTTCAGGTCTGCCAGTGCTCACAACCTGACCGTAGGAGAAAGGCTCCCCAGAGCCAGGCCCATTTCCCTGCAGAAGTCACTGAGTGTTGTGTCTGGCTCCAGAGAAAGGGCTCTGCTTGTGGCCAGTCAGGCCTACCTGGAGGAAACCTATCGACAAGCGAAAGAGAGAGAGGAGAGAAAGAAAGCTGAGGCAGCCACAGTGAGCCCAGCGCCAAGCCCAGTGCTGAGCCCAGTGCTGAGCCCAGCACGCAGGCCATCCGCCAGGAGGTTGGAGAGGCCTCTGAGGGCTCCTCTGTCAGCCCCGCCATCCCCTGCCAAGAGCAGCAGCCTCGACAGTTCTCGTACCCCGGGGAGGCCTCAAGAGGAGGCTGGGAGAAGGCTACCTCACCCACCCATCCGGCACCAGGTCTCCACACCCATCTTGGCTCTGTCTGGGACCTGCCTGGGAGAGCCAAGAATGTTGTCTCCCACTCCAGCCTCCACGTTGGCTCCTGTTCTGTTGCCAACCCTGGCCCCAACCTCTACCCCTGTCCTGGCACCAGTCCCATTGTCCCCCCAAAGTCCTCCCCCACTCACTTTCATCTGCCCCTGGGAGAACGCAGAACTGCCAGGCAAGAAAGAAAATGTGGTCCAGGAAGGTCCCACGGGGTCAGAGCAAAGCAGCCACCTACCTGCCTCAGCTCGAACCAGGATCTGGAGGGCGCTCTCTGTGGCAGTGGAGAAAAGGGGGGCTGGGGAGAGTGAGAGGACCACCGAGGATGGACATGTCCAGGGGGAAGATGACGTGGATGAGGACAAGCCCAAAGTCTTCTCAAAATCCCACAGCCTCAAGACCCCTCTGCAGCAGGGCTCCGTGCGCAGCCTGGGCCTGGCCATCAAAGCTCTCACCCGTTCTAGGAGCACCCACAAAGAGAAAGAGGGTGGGGAGGACAGGCCTGAGACTGAGAAGGGAAAGCCTACAGGGGTGAGCATGGGGGCTCCACCCCGATCTCCCAGGCTAGGCCGGCCCAAGGCAGTGAGCAAACAGGCTGCCCTTAGCCCCTGTGAAGATGAGGAGTCCCTCCAGAACCAACAGAATGCTCACACCAGCAAAATGCTCCACAGCTGTCACAGAGAGGGCAGCAGAGGACAGGACGATAGGAACAAGAGGGCATCACAGGGCCCAGGGGAGCAAAGAGTTGAGAGAACTGGTAAGCTAGGGCTTGCTACACCGAGGCAAGTTTTTGGGGACAAAAATACTGAACAAGCGAAGGAATCCTCTGTGGGTGAACATGAGGCACTCAATACTGCCCTCCAGCCCCTAGGCAGTGCTGACCACAGGGTGGCAGAGGTATGCCCCTGGGAAGTACCTCACTCAGGAATGTCCCAGTCAGAGAGTAGCAACAAGGCCACAGTCTGCCCCTGGGAGGGGACTGAAGGAAACCTTGTGAGGATGCCACCAATACCAGTTCTAAGTAGTTCCTGGGAAGAGAGGGAGAAAGCCTCAGAGGAATCAGAGCCCAGGGGTGTGGGAGCCATTACTGGGAGAAAGCCAGAGAGGCTGATCCGGAGCCAGGAGGCAGTGTGTCCTTGGGAAAGTACTGACCCCAGAGGTCTGCCTCCTCAGTTGGCCCATCGGGATTCTGACAGAACCCAGAGCAAGTCTGCAGTAGTGGGCAGTCCAGAGGGTCTTCTACCTGAGGCTGCCAAGGCTGAGCTGTGTCCCTGGGAACTGAGTGATATCGGGGAGGGGATCTTGGCCCAGAGAGTGAAGGAACTCCCTGAAGAAAGGCAGAAATCCCCCAAGAAGGCAACTCTCTGGAGAGAACAGAATCTGGGCAGAGACCTGGTGTCTCTCTGTCCTTGGGAAAGTACCGATTTTCGGGGTCCCTCGGCAGTCTCACTTCAAGCCCCAGGAAGCTCAGGGAGTTCGGGCAGTGGTACTGCAGAGGTCTGCCCATGGGAGACCTCTAATGAGAAGAAAGCTGAGGTCTGCCCATGGGAACTGGGAGCAGGCACAGACACACTGTATCAGGAAGGAGATGGGGAGACCGCTTCCAGAAAGGGGTACTCAGGAAAGATGGGGGAGCAAACTGCGAGGGCAAAGGCTACAGCCCATCCAGGGCAGGAGTCGGTGTGCCCCTGGGAGGATGCAGCCCCTGAGCAGTCCAGCCCACATCCAGACAGCTCCTCCTCCAAGGCTGGTGGGCAGTTCCTAAGCAGTGGGGCCAGCCAGGCCTTGCAAGTGTGTCACCAGGAAGAGCTCAAGCCAGAAGAAAAGCAGGCGAAGCCTTCAGCAGCAGAAGTCTGTCCCTGGGAAGTAGATGGGAGAACCGGGAACAGGACATCAGAACACACACCAAAAAGAGGAGAATTTCAAAAAGACGGGGAAAAAATACCTGGAAAAGCAAGAATCCAAACATGGGAAAAGACTGAGAGGCAGATCCAAAAGCAGGAAGCAATCTGCCCCTGGGAGAGCACGGACCCTGGCAGCACCCCACAAAAAGACACAGAGAAATCCCAAGCCATTCTCCAGAGGCAAGGCAGTACGGGAGGCAAAGCTGCTGAGATCTGCCCATGGGACATGGAGGAGAGCCTGACAGCTGAGAAGGCCAAGATCTGTCCCTGGGAAGTGGGTGCTGGCGCCGGAGAGGAGAGGACTGTGGGAGCTGGAGCCTCTGAGATCTCTCTGAATGACACAGGCCAGACTTCTGCAGATTCTGGACCCAGGCAGATTGCGGCTACTACTCCAAATAAGTCAGAGAAGCCAGGCCTGGAGAAGGAGGCGGTCTGTCCCTGGGACAGTGTAGGTCCAGAGGACTCCTGTCAGCAGCCAGACACTCTGAGCACTGAGAAACCAAAAGTTGGGCTCCAGGACGGTGGCTCCAGGCCAATAGAAGTGTGTCCCTGGGAAGTAGAGGAAGTTCTTATCAGTGAAAAAGCCAAGATCTGTCCCTGGGATGTGAATGAGGGAACCAGGGTGAAAGGCATGGAGCAAGAGACAGAGAGTGAGCCAGTGAAGGAAGGACCAAAGGATCTGGAAAAGGTGGTAGCCCAGGTCACCGAGGTCTCAGACTTGCCCAGCAGCATCAGCCGTCAGGTCGCAGAGGGGCAGTCCTCGGAAGCAAGTGACAGGGCGACAGATATGGGAGTCCTGAGGGAAGACCCGAAGACGGGTTCCCTCCCAGAACACACAATCCAAGGAAAAGCTGCAGCTTTGAAATCACAGTTCCTGGTGGATGGGGGAGAAACAAGCAAGGAGCTCCAGTCTGTCTGTCCGTGGGAGAGCATGGGGCCACCAAGCTCTTCCCTCCACCCACACGGTCAGTGCCCTGACCAACCTGGAGCCAGCTGCCAGACACTGGTCAGTACTGGCAGAAGGGTTGCTGAAGTGTGCCCATGGGATGCTCCTATCCCAGAACAGAATGAACCTGACAGTGACACCAAGGTTGAGCTCTGTCCCCGGAAGGTGACTGAGAGAATTATGGAGCTACAGACAACAGGCCTGAATGAAAAGGAGGACTCTCAAGAGGAGCAAGAAAGGGCCCCTGAAAAACCAGAGCACAAAGGGGTAGCAGTTGAGGAAACGTCACAGATCAGCGGCCTTGGGAAGCAGGAAGCTATGTGTCCCGGGGAAAGTCAGGATTTGGGGGTACAACCAGCCACAGGTGCTTCTGATGGAAGCAAAGGCGGTTCTGAGAAAGTGGGCTCTGTGGGGTCCAGGGAAGCAGAAGTGTGTCCTTGGGAAGTAGAAGAGGGTCCCTCTGCTAAGAAAGCAGAGAAGATCTGTCCTTGGGAAACAAGTTCAGGAGCAGTGGTGGAGGGGGCACTGGACCAGGGGCAGGATGGAGAGTCACAGGGGGCTGGAGGGGCTGAAGGATGCTTTTTATCTGCTGCAGAGGCAGTCTATCCCTTGGAAGGCGCAGAGTCAGTAGAGCTCTTCCCTGAGGCAGACACCCTGGACACAGACCACCGTAAGGTCAGCCCCCATGGAGCAAGCAGCCCAGCGAAAAGGCCTGCAGAACTATGTCAATGGGAAGTCACAGACCCAGAAGGAAATAAAATCAAGGGCACCATGGCAGATATCTGTCCATGGGAGGAAACCAGAGCCCCAGCTGATGAATCTGGCCTCCTGGCTTTACCGACAACCCAGAGAGATGTCCCTGCTGCTCCTGAGAAATCACTCTGCCTCTCTGTACACAGACCTTTGGAGAGCTTTGTTCCAGTGAGCAAGAGCGTCCGCCCAGAAGTGAGCAAGCCACCCAGTGCTTTTCTTCTGGAAGGTGTCAGAGAACAAGGACCTTTGGGACTTGAGCCCGGAGCCAAGTCAGCTCCAGAGCCAAGTCTCGAAGAAGTGGAGGCTCCAAAGTCTTCCTCCTTAACTGAAGACCAAGGACAAATGGCTTCTGAAACTCAAGATGGAGAACTTAGCCCTCCACCTGCTTATCCTTGGGAGTGTGAATGACACCACCATAGAGAGGTTAGAGTTCTTTCGGGACATATCCCACGTTCCAGTTCCCAAAGAGCTAACTCAAAGACTACAGACACTTGGCCACTCCTCTCCCCAAGAGGCCAGAAGGCAATTCATTCAAAAGGAACTGTACAAGAGGGGTGCAGTTTGGGCCCTAAGGGACAGCCCATCCTCTCTATTTCTCTTTCCGCTTGAGGAAACAAAAGCTGGACCCTCCCCTTCTAAAGAATCCTGCTATTTGTCCAGTGTAACTGACCCAAGCCATTCAAGTATGAACTCTCACTTAAACGAAGCTTACCCAAGGCAGCAAAGAACTAAGTCACACAAGGCAGTGGCAATTGGGGAACTGTGGGGGAGAGAAGGCTATAGAACCATGTAATTCAGGATGAAAGGCAGGGCTAGAATACGGCTCAGTGGTTAGGAGCATGCACTGCTCCTGCATAGGACCTAAGTTTTGTCCTCCACACCCAGTCAAGCGGCTTACAACCACAGTAGCTCCGGCTCTAGGGGAATCCTCCAGTTTCTTCTTCTGGTCTCTGAGGTCACCGACATTCAGTACACATATCACCAAATAGACAGAATAGACAGACAGATAAACATACACATAAATTTAAAAAAATTATTTAAAAGATGAAAGATAAACCGGGCAGTGGTGGTGCACGCCTTTAATCCCAGCACTCGGGGAAGCAGAGGCAGGCGGATCTCTGTGAGTTCAAAGGCAGCCTGGTCCTCAAGAGCTAGTTCCAGTTCCAGGACAGGATCCAAAGCTACAGAGAAACCCTGTCACAAAAAACAAAACAAAACAAAACAAAAAAGATAAATCAGAGGAAAAACAAAGACAAAATATGTGCCCGACAGACCTAGACATCTTCCCTGACACATGGTTCCATGGAGCCCATGTTTGTCTAAAACTCAATATGTTGCTGAGGCTGACCAGCTGACCTTAATCTTCTGCTCCTCCTGTATCACACTACCTGAGTTCCAGGATGACAGGAGTGCATCACTATGCCCAGTGTACTCAGTGGTGGCAATTGAACCCAGAGCTTCCTGCAAGCAAGGCAAGTCCTGTCACCCGAACTATACCCCCAGTCCAGCCTTTGTGTTTCTGTGGGAATGTGTGGTGCTGGGAACTGAACCCTGGTCCTCAGGAATATTAGGCAAGCACCATACTAATAAGCCACATCCCCAGCTCAAGGGCCTTGTCTTTTGACGCAAATCTCCTAGTTCTACTTTGTTATCTCTCATATGTGCCCTGACTGATGGCTGAAGTAACAACAGTCAGACACTCTGACATCTATGTCACAGCTGGTGTCCACAGTGACAACACAGGACAGAGACACTTTCTCGGGGTCCTCCCCACACCGGACAAGGCCTTTTCCCTTCCAGATATCCTCGGTAAGCCTCCTGCTGGCTTTTTCAGCCGGCTTCCTGCCCTGCTCTCTCTTATCCTCTACACAGCTCACCACACTGCCTCCTTCTCCTCTAGTCTTTCTGTAGTCAGCAACAGGGCCCTCTGTAGTGAATGCAAGGGGAGCATTTACTATAAGGGGAGATCTCTGGTTCTCAAGTGAACCACTCTGGCTCGCTTGCACTCCTTCCCAGAGGAGCGTGGGAAAGAAAAGAAGTCCTGTTCACAGTCAGAATTCCAACTGCTACCTTCAGAAAAAGCAGCGCTCCTGGACAAGTGAGAAGCCCAGGGGCTGGGCAAGGCACCAGGTGAACAAAAGCTCCTTCTCACGGGTCCACTCCGCCTTGGCTCCCTTCTCAAGCATCACTCAGGCTACCCTGATTTAGCAGCCTGGGTTAACAGAGGGTTGCAGTTACATGATATCACCAGAGGGAAACTAGGAAGGAGAAAGACATGTAAAGAGAGCGAGACGGGGTGCAGTCAGGCAGAGTAATGGCAGTGGAGCTGGCTACATTAAAGACAACACAGATAGAGATGCTGCAAGAAGTGGGAAGCCCCAAGTGAGATCAAATGCCCAGAGAACGAACCAGGAGTCTATGTGCAAATGTCGCACAGAAGAAGCGGCTGATCCCTTTCTAAAAGGGAGCACACGAACAGTCACCTACTCTCAGACTTTGGGGGCCAGCTGCCCTCATTCGCACACAGAGCCCTCCTACCCACCCAGACCTCCTGCGCTGAATTTCTACAGCAGTGTGTTGTTGTTCTGGGCTGTGGCTACTTAACCCCACAACTTCTGAGCTACGGTAGACTTCACTAACTGTGCACCCCAGGGCAATCCCACTGGGTCGTCTAGCTGGAAGAGCAAAATTATCTCCACATTTGCTGTTCTAATAGCCACCCAGGAAAATAATAAAGAAAATAAAGAATGCTTGTTCTCAGCTACCATACTTGGTACCCGTTTATTTATAATGGTGCTTTCTTTGTCGACAGAGACAGCAGACAGATGAGAGAACAGGGCCTGCTTCAAAGTCCAGGGTAGCCGCCCTGTGCCCGATAGGACTTTGGGTGGCCTGGCTTATTCTCTCCCGGTGCCCAGAATCACAGCTAACAGATGCTCTCTGCCTGGTTCTCCTAGGCAACCCTGCACATCTGGGGCCATTTGCTCAGCTGGATTTTATCCCAGAGGATTTGAAAATTGCACTTATCCCCTGGCTTCCTGGTGGCAGCTATTGCTTAGCTGCGATTTAAGATTATCTAGAGACCCTGAGTCAGATCCATGGCAATGGGATGAAATAGCTTATCTGAATCACTGTTTTTCGTAAATTCAAGAGACATCAATGTAGCATTTGCTTACTAAGTGTGCTTTTTTTGTTTCTCCACTTCTCTTCCCTGCTGGGTTTATCTCCCTTCCTTCACACTCTCCCGTTAGGGATCTGGCTCAAGCACTTCTTATTTTGCCTTAATCCAGGGCTCAGGCAAATAGGATGTTCCCAACCCCCACCTGGAGAGCGATGCTGCAAACTGCTGTACATTTTAAGCCCAGAGGGTTGAGAGCAAACAGCATGAGGCTGGCCACCAGTGCTCTTTTCCCGAAGCATACACATATGTGTTTCCACAGTTCACACTCATGAGCCGCTAGAAAAACAGCAGTCTTTTTGGGTCAGTGAGGTGGCTCGTGGGTAAAAGCATTTCTCCTGCAAACTTGACCCAAGGTCAATTCCTAGAATCCACATTAGAAGGCAAAAGTTATCCTCTGGCCTCTATCCGAAAGCTGTACCATCGACAACATTCCCACTCAAACACTCTCTCACACACATAATGAATAAATAAATAATAACACGAGTCTCCCCAATAAGACCTGTCCTGTTCGCAGCTTTGCTCGAAGGGCAGGCTTAGAGAGACCAGAGTTAGGGCACTAATTGCTGACCCAATTCCAGTTTCTTTTCACCCTATTCTAGACACGGTCAGACCAGATTACTCTTGACTTTAAGTGACCAAGAAAATTTCAGACTTGAGAAAGATTAAGTCTGAGAACTTAGGCTCTCGTTTTTCCTGTGTGTGTGTGTGTATGTTGCTGAACCTAGGGCCTCACATATGCAAAGCAAACTACCAGCTGAGCCATATTTTCAGCAGGCCCTGTTTTTAAACAAGAACTCACACTAGATTAAGGAACTCAAAAGCATTATGAATCCAGCTTGTTGGTGGAAAAAGGTAATTTCTCATCATGCCCAGACATCCCAGAACACTGTGCATGCAAACCCCACACCCTTCTCCAAACAGTCCTGGTGGAGCAAGGAACAGGCAGAGACTGGGCTGTTGTATTCCACACAGACTTGTACTCTGTAGGACACTGTGCATGCAAACCCCACACCCTTGTCTGCTAAACAGTCCTGGTGGAGCAAGAAACAGGCAGGGGCAGGGCTGCTGTACTCATTCCACACAGACTTGTACGCTGGTGCATTTGCCTTCTTGGTCCTGGGCTTGAAGACAAGGCCAGTATCTTTGGGAGGTGCAAGAAATCAGAACCAAATCTTACTGACTTCCCCTAATTGCCAACCCTGCCTTGTCCCCTGCATACTTCCAAATTTCCTGGAGCCACACGGTTTTCTTTTTTTGAGATAGTGTCTCTCTATTATGTAGCCTTGGTTGTCCTGGAACTTGCTATGTAGACTAGGCTGACCTGGTCAGAGATCTACTTGTCTCTGCCTGAGTGCTGGCATACTTCCTTGGTAGTCTGACCTAGCTGGGAAGAACCAGGGTAAGGATTTAATCTCCAGTGCCAAAATGTGGCAGTGGGGGTGGGGACAAATCTAATAACTAAGAATAAAATAGGGGCTGGAGAGAAGACTGTGAGGTTAAGAGCACTGGCTGCTCTTCCAGAGGTCCTGAGTTCAATTCCCAGCAACCACAAGGTGGCTCACAACCATTGGTAATGAGATCTGGTGCCCTCTTCTGGTGTGCATACATGCAGGCAGAACACTGAATACATAAACAATAAATAAATCTTTTTTTTAGTTTTTTGGGACAATATTTCTCTGAGTAGCCCAAGCTATCCTGAAATTCACCCTATAGGACCAAGATCTGCCTGTATCTGCCTCTCGAATGCTGAAATTAAAGGAGTGTGCCACCACCACTCGGATTAAATAAATAAATAAAAACTCAGAGCCGGGTAGTAGTAACGCACACCTTTAAATCCAGCACTCAGGAGGCAGAGGCAGGTAGATCTCAGTGAGTTTGAGATCTGGTCTACAAAATGAGATCAAGTATAGCCAGGACTGTTGCAGAGAAACCCTGTCTCAAAAAAAAATAAAATAAAATGCAGGATGGGTGTTGTAGTTCATGCCTGTACCAGCATTCATAAGGCAGAAGGGCCACTGCAAGTTTAAATCAAGCCTGGGCTATCTATCAAGTTCCAGACAAAGTAGGTCTGGACTTTATCTCAAACAAAATAAAATGCACAAAAGCTAAAAGACAATTTTTTTCCTTTGGATTTATATATAAGTAAGATAAAAAATAATTTTAAGCTGGGCATGGTGACACACTCTTTTAATCCCAGCACTCAGGAGGCAGAGGTGGGCAGATCTCTGTGAGTTCGAGGCCAGCCTGGTCTACAAAGCAAATTCCAGGACAGCCAGGGCTACACAGAGAAAGTGTCTTGAAAAAATTTTTTTTTTTAATACACCTGCTACAGTAAGTGAAGACTCAGATCCAATTCCTAGCATCTACATGGTGGTTTACCAGCATCCGTAACTCATGTTCCAGGGAATTCAACTCCTTCTGACCTCCAGGGGTATCAGGCATGTAGTGCACAACATACATGCAGACAGGACACTCATACATGTAAAATTAATTAACACCCTATTTTTTGTTGTTGTTCTTGAGACACGATCTCAGGTAGCCCAGGCTGACTCTAAACCATTACGTAGCCAAGGATGACATGAACTGCTGTCCTCCTCCTGCCTCCACTTCCCCAGCAATGGCATTACAGAGAGATACCCTGGTTTATAAACACAAAGTACTCTTTCTGGTCGCGAGCCCCTGGAAGTTACGTCACTCACAACTCTGGGTTCCACTTCCGACATTATGGAACTGCTCTATTCCCAGTTTGAACCAGGGCAAAAGTACAAAACCACGATGTACTCAACACTTTCCTAGTATTTTATTTCAAATGCTGGTCTCTGCCCTGTATAGAAAAGAGCACGCTGTTGGTCTACTCGCAGTTCCTGCCGTGAGAAGTCCAGTGTCATGTATGTTCTCACAC